ACCGTGGAAATCCTTCATCCAGCCCTTCCTCCTGCTTGCTTCTCCTAAGGACCTGACTTCTGTCCCCACTGGCAGGAGGCAAACTTTACAGAAAACTGGGCACAGCACATAACTCGGTCTCTCTGGAGGACCCAGGGTCCATCCAGCCTTCCAGTCAGCCAGGAAGATCTGGTCCAGAGAGAGAGGTTCGGGCCTCAGGGTCACACAGCAAGGCTGAGCTGAGCATTTATCTCTGTGGGGGACCCATCACAAAATCAGTTCTTCCCCTTCAAATGCTTTTCTTATCAAAATCTTCTACATAGCCCTGGCTGACCCTGGAACTCAAAGAGATCCTCCTGCCTCAACCTCCTAAGTGCTGAGATTAAAGACATGTGCCACCACACCCAGCTGAGCTCTGTCTCTGTTCCTCTGTCTCTTTTTGTAAACACACACACACACACACACACACACACACACACACACTGGGTTGAATGAGCACACCCAGCCCCCTTCAGTCACCCACCCTGGTCCACTGGACGCAGAGTCCTCACCTGAAAGAAGGATTCCTGTCCACTGGCTGCCCCGGAAGCCAGCAACCCCCATGAGTCCTGGAACCTGGCTTCAGTGTGCCAGGCCGTCCCTCTCCCTGGCTGGCACACACAAGCCTGCGTATCATGTGGACAGCTGACTGGGGCCTGGAACAGCCCTGTTGGGGGCAGGGAAACAAAGAACCTTGCCCTAACCTCTACCACTTGCTGTCCTCTGCCCAGCACGGCCAGGAATCCCATAACCCCGAGGACCAGGAACTGAAACTGTTATAGCCCACAGCAACGGCAATAAAAATAATAAAGGCCAGTTACTCTGAGCTTAAGAAAGCAAGGCCATTTGCCAAACTGGTTGTGAGCAGTCCAGAAATAGCTAATTAAATGAGCATGCTGTGTGTGGAAGTGGATCCTAGTCATAAAAGTAAATGGTGGGGTCAGATGGTAAGATGTACTCTGGGTAGGACTGAGAGAGCTCCAGAGGGCCAGACAGGAAAGATTACATGAGAGTTATTAGGCCGGGTGTGGTGGTGTATGCCTTTAATTTTAGCACTTGGGAGGCAAAGGCAGGCCGATCTCTCTGAGTTCGAGGCCAGCCTGGTCTACATAGTGAGTTCCAGGCCAGCTGGGGCTACAGGGAGACCCTGTTTCAAAAAAAAAGAGAGTTATTAGTAAAAAAGAACATTTGAGTCAGCATGGTGGAACACACCTGTAATCCAAGGACTTAGAAGACCGAGGAAGGAGAATCAGGAGTTTAAGGCTAGCCAGGGCTACATGGTGAGCTCCTGTCTCCAAAATAAATAAATAAATAAATAAATAAATAAATAAACCAAGGCTGGGGAGATGACTCCGTGGGTAAAGCACTTGCTGTGTAGTGAATAAGAGAACTGTCCCTAGCGAGGTGGGAAGCAAGAACCGACACATAAGGTTGTCCTCTGACCTCCACATGTGGACCATGGCAGGTGCACCCACACTCACACACATGCATCTGTAGATACATACACACCGTGCACACACACACACCCGAAAAATTGAAAACAAACAAACAAAAAACCCCCCAAAATGCCCCCCTCCGTAGCCTGGCATGGTTAAAGGTACATCTTTAGTCCCAGCACTCAAGAGGCAGAGGCAGTTGGATCTCTGTGAGTTCCAGGTCAGCCTGGTCTACATAGCAAGTTCCAGGCCAGACAAGACTACCTAGTGAGACACTGTCTCAAAAAACAAAAAACAAACAAACAAAAGGCAGGGGGTATAACTCAGTGGCCTAGTGTTTAGTCTGACTGTGAAATGTCCCTACAGGCTCACATGTTGGAACACTTGGTGCTCAGTCGGTAACACTATTTTGGGAAGTAGTGGGGACTATTGGCCACAGGGCTTAGCGAGCGGCCATAGAAACACAGTGTTGGGTCTTTTGAGTTATGGTTTTGAGTTTTGAGTCTGGTCTACAGAGCTGGAAGTAAGCTTTTCAGCAAGTTCCCATCACCATAGACACTGCCATCCTGGACCATGTCTTCCCACCATGATAGACCATATCCCCTGAACTGTGAGCCAAAATAAACTTCTCCCTCAAGTTGTTGCTGTTGTTGTTTGAGAGAGCTCTCACAAAGCCCAGGCTGACCTCAAATTTATATATAGCAGAGGATAGCTTAGAACTTCTGATTTTCCTGCCTCCACCTCCCAGGTGGCCATGGGTGGCCACACCTGGTTTATACAGTTCTGGGCTGGAACCCAAGGCTTTGTACATGTTACCAACTGAGCTACATCCCCAGAGCCCCAGTTGCTTCTTATCCGGTATTGGGTCACAATGAGGAGGAAAGCGACTAATAGACTGTTCCTTCTAGCGAGGGCAGGAACACGGCAGGACTCATGGAGGATCGCTGTTTTCTGCCGTGCTTTCTGGCTCACTCACAGGCTCATGCTTAGTTTTCTTTTTTTTAATTTTAAAAAATTAGTTAATTTTAAAAAATATATTTTAATATTTATTTAATATAATAAATATATTTTATCAATTCGTTTATGCATATGAATGTTTTGGGTACATGTATGTAAGTGTACCATGTGTGTGCAATGTCTGCAGAGGCCAGAAGAGGGCGTTGGATCCACTGGAACTGGAATTACAGACGGTTGTTCACTGCCATGTGGGTGCTGGGAACCAAACCTCGGTCTTCTGCAAGAGCAGCCAGTGTGCTTAATCACTAAGCCATCTCTCCAGCCCCAAGCTAGCTTTCTTATGCAGTTCCAGACCACCTGCTTAGGGATGGTACCACCACTTTGGGCTGGGCCCTCCTGCATTAATTAATAATCAAGACAATCTCCCACTGATACACTGTGTCCAAAGGGGCCTAGTTCCTCTGAGGGGTGGGGCCTGCTGCAGAGAATTGACTGTGGAGAGTTTGTAGAGGAGGGAGGGGCTTTTGGCACCATCTTGGAACAGGAGCTGCCACACATAAAAAATGGCCCCAGAATCTCGCCTGTATGGGCAAGACTTTGGGCCTACGAGGTGTGGGCAAAAGCTAACGGAGACTGTGGGCGGGGTGCTGACCCACAGAGCAGAATGGGGAGCCGGGTGTGGGGCACTGGGTGTTCGCCTTTGTAAGTTACCTTATTTCCCCCTACCCAGGATATAAACTGAAAAATTCAGATAAAGGCATGTTATATAGTTTGTCTAATAGTGCCAGGAGCACAGGACCCTAAGAGAACTCAGGTGACACATGCCCATAGGCCAATCTGAACTAAACAATTCCTCAGCTGAAGTTCTCCTGTCAGATGACTCTATGCTGTGTCAAGTTGACTAAAGCTAACTAGAGCTGGGTGTGGTAGTACATGCATTTAATCCCAGCACTTGGGGGTGAGAGGCAGGCAGATCTCTGTGTGTCTAAGGTTAGCATAGTCCACATAGTTCCAGAATAGACAGGGCTACATAGTGAGACTCTGCCTCAACAAAACAAACAAACTAGGACATACATGTAGCAAGTATGAAGCCCTGGGTTCCATCCAGAGTACCAGGAAGGCTGGAGGGACTAGAGGGAGGGAGGGAGACTCTGTTTACTGAAGAACCAGTTTTGACAATGCATTGGCAAGTCTGGTACCTGACCTTCAACTCTCCCTGGTACCTGACCTTCAACCAGCTCTGTGCGGTGCATCTTCCACTGGTGTCCTATTAACACCTAAAGGAGTTTGTGTCCTTTCTCTGTCCAGAGGTTTCCTGCTGCTCATGTCTCAGAGGAAAAGCCAATGTCTTAAGATAGGCCACAGGGACCCACATTATCAACCCCAGAGCTCTCTGCCCCTTCTCCCACTCCTCCTGAGCCCCTCTACTCCAGGGGCTGACCTGTCCCCCGGTTAGTAAACTCACCACCTTTGCACTGGCTTTTATCTCTGCCCCAAACTCTCTTCTGATGTGGTGGTAAATATTGTCAATTTGACAGATTCTAGAATCACTTAGAAGACAAACCTCAGGGCTGGGGAGGGGGGTGAAGGAGAACGGAGTTTCTAGTAATTGAGGTGGGAAGACCCACCCTAAATGTGGGTAGCCGCATTGCATGCACAGGCTGGGGTCCCAGACTGAGTAAAAAGGAGAAAGTGAGCTGAGTACCAGCATTCTTCTCTCTGCTTCCTGTGATCCCTCCCTTTAAGCCCGGCACTCTGGAGGCAAAGGCAGGTGGGCTCTGGGCTCAAGGCCAGGCTGGTCTACATAGTGAATTCCAAATCAGCTGGGGCTACAGGGAGACTCTGTCACAAACAAACAGATAAATAAATAATAGATATTGCCTCCTCAGAGAAGAGCCCCTAAGTGGGGCTCTCACCTTCTGTTCACCCCAGAAACCCCAAACCTACCTATCTCTCTCTCTCTCTCTCTCT